CTCCCTGGGAGCTCCAAGGCTGCTGCGATTGCGTCGTCGAACGTCCTTGAGAACGACTACCGCCTTGCGAATGCAACGGTAATCCACTAAGCGAGAGCGCAGCATATTGCTCGCCATTCTCTGCCTTAACCTTAGAGGTCGTGAACTCATTCAGCACTCGCCACATCTCATCCAGACTACTGTAGGGTTCTGCAGCGGTACGCTTTGCACCCGGAAAACAGTCAGACATCATCACAGAAAACTGGTCGTTGATCTTATTCCGTACCCCGCAGGGCCGGCGTGCTGGGGCTCGGAACCAAGCTTATTCGAGCCGGTGAGCGCCATGTGCTGCGAACCAAATCCCGAAGTACCGGTGAGCGTGTGCTCCTCACCGAACCCCTGTGGGTCGGTGGGAGAGTTTCGCGTCGAACCAAATCCCGTAGGATCGGTGAGCGAGGGCTCCGCACCGAACCCCTTAGGGTCGGTGGGAGGGTTTCGCGTCGAACCAAATCCCGTAGGATCGGTGAGCGAGGGCTCCGCACCGAACCCCTGTGAGTCGGTGGGAGGGTTTCGCGTCGAACCAAATCCCGTAGGATCGGTGAGCGAGGGGCTCTGCCAACCATACCTCGAAGGGTAAGTGCGAGCCTGCTGAAAACCAGGCTCATTAGAGCCGGTGAGCTGGGAGGGTTTCGCGTCGAACCAAATCCCGTAGGATCGGTGAGCGAGGGGCTCTGCGAACCATACCCCGAAGGGTAAGGGCGAGCCTGCTGCAAACCATGCTCATTAGAGCCGGTGAGCTGGGTCAAGGTCCAACAGACGAGGTTGCATTACCATGGGGTACAACTGGGTGTAGTCGTTTTTCGGTAATTTCATGGGCAGGCACAGGACGCGTTGGAGCGGCCGTTGACCGTGCTAGATCGAGAGCGTCAGATGGTGGTTTACCAGCTAGACGCCGTGACCGTCTAACAACAGGCATACTCGTAGTTTGCACGGGTGTGGGCGCAAATGGGAGAGGAGGGGCTGCTGCAGGGGTACGATCTTCGTCTACGGCGGGTAACGATACACTAGATACAGGTTCTACGTCTCTGCCTGCAATTGCATCGGTACTAACAGGGGCAGAAGCATGGTTGCCAGTCGGAACATATTCGCTGTCTGTGTATTCACGTGATTGTGGACGCGGGTACACAAGTGCAGCGTCGCGTGCACCATGCGCGGCACCAGGCGGGGCAGGGTTGCTGGAAGCAAATGCGCCGCTGGTGGCTTGCGGTGTCTCACCATCAGCGGATCTCAGGGTATCCGACTGCTGTGAGGTCGCAGTGGTTCTCAAACTTTGACAGCGAGAGCCATCTCCATCCATCTCCGAAACATTTGTGGTGTTCTCGGAATGCGATAAAGAAGGGGTGTCGGCATGCAGCCGAGAGAACGTTTTGATAGTTTCTCGGGGGCTTGCGACAGCGAGACCAGGGGCAGAATCGCTCGAGGTGACCGCTCCGCTGGTGCGTTCTGACGTGCGTTCGACGGAGCTGCTAACTCCAACCGAGTGCGTGTGTGAGGCATCGATCAAACTCGTGGAGTGAGAGCCAACACTATATCCACATTCGGCACATATCCGCGCTCGGAATGGGATGCAGCCGGGCTGGCGTCGAAACAATTCAAACCCTGAGGTTCAAACATGCCGACAGCGACAGCTGGGCTACCAGGGGCAGGAGTACTAGACTCGACCACGCCACTGGGGGCGTCCGACACGCGCACAATGGAGCTGTGAGCTTCATTCGTGTGCGTGGGTGAGGCTTCAATCAAACTCGGAGAGCGAGAGCGTTCACCATCCAATTCCGGCACAGTGCTGTGTTCGGAATTGGATGCGGGGTGTGAGTGTGCGCCTTGAACCACCGAGCGCATCTGCATTTCTGCAGGTGTCTCAAGGCGGTGTGCCACATCTGATGACCAGCGTTGAGCTGAATCACGAGAGGGCACAGACCTGGAGCGCGGCGCGCGACCAAGGCCTTCAGTGTGCGATCGTGCAACATCATCTTCCTGAGAGTCTACGTCTGCTAACGTGCGTTCGAACTGCGATCGCGATCGTGGCTGCTGCTGCTGCTGCTGCTGAAAAGTCCGACCGCGAACATGCAAGAAGGCATTCAGCGAATCCTTATCAACACGGAGCGAGCTACGCGAAGCATGCGAATCATCATCATCAGGAGTGTTGTGCGGCGACAAAGGGACCGGGGTCGAGACAGCAGAGTCGCTGCTACCTCGCGGCTCATCAGGAGCCGACATGCTGAAGCAGGGCCAAGGCTGTTGCCCTGCCGCTATTCAGCAGACTGCAAAAAAGCGAAAAAAATCAAAATCAATTGAACGCAAGAATCAAGCAACACGACCAAAACCAACAACGCCAGTGTAATGGTATTTGACCCCTTCCTTCAGAATCAATCACCTTTGAGCTGTGTGGAACTCTCTTATCCGACCACAGTAGCAGGTTGTTGTTGCTTTCCGTTGTTCTCTTTCTCTTGATTAACGCTTTCCAAGCCAACTCACAATATCCCACGCACACGCGATCATAGATCACCTGTACGCACACACTGAACAGAAGGGCACATGTCTCGGCATAAAGCCCTGATCTAGCATGACGTCACGTCATAGCATCCGACGGCGCCAAATAACCATGATCAACCACTATCACATGTCTACCTCCAAATACCATAACAAGTGTGCGTGCATGCATGCGTGTGCGTGTCTGTGTGGCCCCCTCAACCCCAGCACACGAACTCGCACCAGAACAGCGACAGGACGTACACATAGTGCCCGGCGGCCCTGTACGAAGTGCTGTGTATCGCATTTCAAGCGTTGGGGAGAGGGTGTTTTTTTGGGGCGGGGGCACATCGAAGTCAAACACGCTCTCTCAAGTAGAAGCAGAGAATACTCTTGCGGCGTGTCACCAGAAGGCAACACTGCGTGCTCTTCCTCCTCTCTGCCCTTTGCTGGCGGTGCTGCCACCTCCTCTACGTCGTCGGTTGCCGCGGTTCGTTCCGGCGCTCTTTCTCCCCCTTGCTTCAACCTGTGTGTGACGGGCGCGTGTTGCTGACCTAAAGCCGCGCAACAACCAACCCTAACTTGGTTTTCTGACCGTGCAGCCTCCCCCTTTCTGTGTTGGTGGCGCGCCAACTCCAGGGCCTTTGCGCTGGGCGCTGGGTTTTATTTGGGCGGCCGCTGGGCATGCTCCTGCAGACTGTGTGTGTGTGCGTGTGGGTGGTGCCTGATGATGTGTTGTGTGTGGTGCCTGATGTGCTATTTCAAAGAAAGCTGCTAAATCGAAAAGTTGGCAAAATTTTCCACAAAACGAGCCTCCCTCCGCTGTTAAATCTGATTGTTTTTCCCTTATCTTGGGTTCTGGCGAGACTGTCAGGAACGATCCTCAGAACGATGGCTTAACTCAAAATAAATTTCCTTATTTCAGCTTTTTTTTGGTTCCGAAGCTGTCTATTTATTGACGTACTTTGTTTATTGCCGTGGGAGGTGCGCATCGGTACCGAGAGTGAGGAAGGCGTTAACCCGTCGCATAGCTTCCTACGCACATGAGTGTGCCGCCGTCGACCCTATCCCTCGAGCTCACACACAGCCATACCCGATGCACTGCAAGAAAAACATCCCCCAACAAAAGCGAAAATTATTTGGTGAATGGGCGAATGAATGGAGGACCCCAAAAAACAAGGCATGAATACAAGAAAGTATGCTTACAACCATGAACAAGAGCCAGACCCAACCGCGACCCAACAGGCTTCAGCGAGGAGGCAGAGGAGAGTATAGAAAAAGCACCCTCGCCGCTCTAACCCTCCGGAAGCTTTCACACAGGCATTTCAGCAAATAAACGTTATGGCGACGCCCGTTACCTGGCAGCGCCCATTGTGTCACATGCAGCACCCGGGTGCACGGGTAGCCTCGTTTACTCAGACAGCAACAAACACAACTACAGAATCTACGGATGGACTTTAGTGACAACAAACACAATGAACATGACTAGAGAAAAGACTAAGCACCACGGACGAACTACACCTCCATACCCCAGCCGTCCGTGTTAGCTGTGCACCTCTACTAGACAAGCGTCAACCGTTCTCATAGCTACCATCGACCTCTTCGCTCAAGTTCCCAATAAAGTACGCAGCAAACCATGCTTGCGGTGGACTTGCTGTTAAGTCTTTGTCTCGAACTGCTGTTGTTTTATTCGTGGATGATGACACAGGAAAAAAGCAAGAGACGCGCGTCGTTACCTATACGCGAGCAACTCGCTGCCTACGCGAGCAACGCGCGCAACCTACAGAGACGATTAGATTACCTCACGAGCTTTGCAGCACATTTCGAGCATCACTCAGCAAGAAATAAATGACACACAAACGCAAACCAAAAAGGAAGATTGTGGCGCGCAGCACACAGGACCCTCTTTCTCTGTTCAACCGGCCGTTCCCATTGCGAAACAGAAAAGGAAAAGTCAAGGTCGAGTCGTGGCGGCCACAGGAGGTGGAAGCTGCTCAAACTCGGGGGTCATGGATTGCGATTCCTTACCGAACCATACTCGAGGCGCCACGAGAGTTGCACTGCAGCTCGAGATCAGCATTTGAGACCCTGTCGGGCAAGGGGTGGGCTATGCGAGTGAAAATGACAGGCCGAGCTTGGGAATATTCCGAAGAGTGAAGTTTTAGGAAATAAAAGCTGCCCTGTCAGGCGTTCGAGAGATAGGCGGGGGAGCGCTGAGAGAGCAGGGTAGTCCGACAAAAAAAAAGAACAATTCCAGCTCAATCGGTTGGAAACTAGGACGGACTATTCAGAGGGATCTGCGGAAAAAACATACCCCATGGGGTGACATCATTCATCAGATTATTTTAGTCGCGCATACACGAGACTACCGTATGATCCCTGTTGCACGTGGTTCGACATCGGCAATCTCTTGCTCACCCGCATCAGCCAGTACAGCGTGGTGTGCGTCCACGAGTGCGTGGGTTATCCATCTGCACACCATCGCATGTGCCCCGTTCGGGAAAAAAAAGGGAATTGCGAGAAAACCAGCACAATTATGAAAAAGAGTGCCGTGTGCCAGGCCGCTTCCCCAATTGAATTGAACTAGACACTTCTCGACCACAGACTAGCCACGCAAGATTTCGTGCCCCGTTGCCGGCATGGTTACTCACGCGCGGTAACCACCAAGAGGCAACAGCTTCAGACTTCATGAGATAAGATAAATCACAGGCAGTCACTTCGCGCTCCGAAAGCTGTGTTTGCCCTGGTCAGGGCTGCCTCCAATCCTCCACTTTGATCGAAATATTATTGTCGCCGTTTGTCGGTACGTACGACGGCGTCACACGCTCGTGATGTGATAAAGAAAGTAAACAACATACAAAGATCTTCGATTGTTCCTACGATTGAATGACAAACCCAGGCAGCTTCCTGCACGTAATTGAGCACCGAAGAGAACGGCCATGCATGCACATGTGATTCCCATGCTACAGACGAAGACGCTCGACATAGGTCATGACCTTGTGGGCCATGGCGGCAGGCTCACTACCTTCGGCTCCTCCTGCCAGCGTCCCCACGGTCGTGACGCCTGTCTCCATTTCGTTCCTTCTCGCGGTCCCGGTCCCTTCCCCAATCCCTCCCCCGTGCTCTCTCCCTGTCTCGTTCTCTCGGCCTGTCCCTGCCCCTCTCTCTGCTGTCCCCTCTGCGGTCTCTGCGATTTCGACTCCAGCTTCGACTTCGACTCCGGCTGCGCCGGGATTCCCTCTCTCGAGGTCGTTTTCGATCTCTCTCTCGATCCTGCACTCTTTCAGACGGTCGCCCGTTCGCTTCTCGGTCGGCACCATCCTCGCGTCCACGTTCACGTTCGATACCTAGTGCGCTGCGGCTTGCGCTGTGGCTCCTGTTGCTTCGACTTTCACTCCTGCTGTCACTCTCCCGCTCTTGGCTTTTGTTGGTAGATGGTTCTTCAGCGCCATTGCTGTCAGGCTCGTGGACATCAGAAGGACCAGGCGCTTCAGGAGTATTGTTGGCAACACTGACAGAGTTGTTACATACTGGTTCAGCAACCACCGCCGAAACACTCACGGAGTCACGTGTGCAGGGTTCATCTCCAGGTTGTGTTTCGGATGGAGCAGCCGCCGGAGTTTCTTCCACTCCGTCAGCTGGCGCGTAAACCTCCTGGATATTCTGCACAACCGCATCTATTCGCAACGGACCTCCTCTCCTGAAAACGCTGTTATCGCAAAGCGGTTCTAAGAACGCCACTTTAGGTCGATGGTAGAGGGCTAGGATGGTGTTGCAGATCTCCCCCATTTCTTGCATGTCTGCGTTGAAGAGGACCCACCACGGCGGGTTGTCAGGCAACTTGATTCCAAGCGAACGCGAGGCCATGTAGATTGCTGCGCACGCGATGACTTCCGAGCGAAAACGCAGGGACAGGTCAGTGCGCAGTGAGTCGTTAACGTAGTTCCAAGCACGTTGTGAAACATCTCCTTCAATGTCCAATTCCAGCACTCTCAAGTAATAGAGGATGAACTTGTGTGGGTGATCCATGATGTTGTAGAATCCGAACCCAAGCTCCTTCAGGACGTGGAGCTCAACACGGAGCATTTCGTCTCGCAAAACCCTCAGCGACTCCGGCGGAATAACAATCGCCGGGTCGACGCCAATTCGCCGTTCAAACATGCGGTGAAAGACAAGCACCACCGCCCGAGGCTGGCGTGGGTCCTCTTCGATCTTCATCGCCAGTAGCATGCACCCCATCGCTACGCTGAAAGCGTCAAACTTGGTCAAGGGCTTCCGGTAAAAAAATCTCTGAAGCAAGTTTTGCGCGGTGCACATGACTACCTGGGGCAACCTGCAAAAGGCAAACACCGGGATAGGGGAAAGCTTCGTTAGGAGTACGGTCCATGAAAGAATGACATTTTCCAGTAGTGCCCGCCTAGAGCCGATCAATTGGAAGGCGATTCGACCACGAAAGAAAAACGATTAACTGCCTTTGAAATATCACTAGTCATACCTTTCCACGGACTTGTGCTTTTGGTCATTTCTCTCTACTTGAAAGCAACAAAAACAAACTACAGTATGAGTAAGGTGCGTCTTGTGTCGTGGCTGATAGAAATAGAAATCAATAGCGATAGGAAGCACAGAAACTGAGTTTACGAGGGTCGGTACCCTGTGACAAAAAGAACCGCGGCTTGGAACAGATTTTTGTACTTGTGATAGGTTTGGTTTTCCGGTGATCCATCCCCATTGGCTCAAGTGACAGTACGGACAATGCTAACCCCCACGAGCCGGGCGTATGGTGCGTCTTGCATATGATTGGTAACACACCGATAGAGGGCTCAGAAATTGAGTTGGCAAGAGTCTACGAACATGCGAACGAAGACCCACACGGCAGCTGCTTGCAGCTCTTTAGCCCATGCCAACAGTGTGTTTCCCGGCGATCCCTCTCCACTAGCTAAAGCAGCAATGACAAACCTGTCCTCTCTGAGCTTCGTGAATGGTGAGTCTTGTGTGGTGGTTGATACAGACCGGAAGGCCATGGGACGCTCAGATATTGAATTAGCGACAGTTGAACACCTACAGTACACATCACAGTGGTTGCCTTTCCGAGTCCGGCCAAACGAATAAAGCAACGCCTCTAGTGATGCACTGGTACTCGTTTGGCCAACGTCGGAGGTTGCGAGGATGAAATGTGGAGAGATTCAAGTTTAGTTTGTAGGTGAGTCTCTCATCGTGGGTTGCGGAAGAGTCGATGGACTTGGACAAACTAGGGTAGCAGCTTTGGACAGTCCCACCGTGTCCTAAGAGTTCCTCAAAAGAGGGCAGGATGGGGCTGTCCAAAAGGATTGTCCAAAACTTGATCAAACGTGACCTTCTTGGGCAGTTTATCAACGGGCAACAATGTAAGAGCGTGAGACAAAGTAATAACGACCAAAAAATTATTTCTCTCAAGACGATAGACAAGGATCTACCTCTATGTGCAGACTGCACGCCCGTGGGCCAATAAAAAGCGTCTGCAATTACTGTTAGTGCACTGCCGCCCTCAGCGGTCTGTGGTGTTGAGACTGGGGACTATGTTATCCCAGGAACAGCTGATAAAAAAGGACCATGTATTGTATATATTCGTCACGCAAGCCCCTCAGGCAAGCTGGTATTCGACACGCAAGCCCCTCAGGCAAGTGCCGGGAGCACACCGCCGTGTGCTCCCGGGAGGCCCCCGCACTTGGACCACAACCGCACACATACCCTCACACCCATACTTCCCATACGCGTATCCCCCACAGAGGATGCACAGATCGGACTCATATCCAAGTACCACAAACAGCCCCCCTACTTGATACGATGTACGATCTTGCAACCAATGCAAAAACGCAATCAGCAAACATAGAAAAACACCCCTTGAGAAAAATTATTCAACAAAACTGGCTACGCATCCAACACAAAGCGTCTCCATCAGTTTATTCACGAATCCAAAGCGTTCGTCTCTGGAAATAATCTCAAACCGTTGACACAAAATAATCATCCTCAGAAAAGTACCCAACAATTATTTGTGCTACATCAGAAAGGCGTCGGAACGAAAACGGACATTTCTGGAAAAAAACAACTTCCAAAAGAGTTGGCACCAAATCCTCAAACAAAACAAAAACTCAACTTCTTGACCAATCAAAACGAGAATTCGGAAAGCACAATGGCCCCAACCATTAATCGTCAAAACATGTCAAACCCTTCCTCCAATACAGTGTCCGAGGACCAATTCCTAAACAGCGCGCACCCGCTAATCAGTACCGTCGCTGTTGTCCAAGAAACGATAGAAAATATAAGCAAGCATCCACGCAAACAGCCCCCCTGCTGTCAGCTCCCAAAATTCACCCCGAGCTAATATCTCGATGTCAACAGTCCCCCCTGCTTTGCCGTTCACCTAAAACACAAATAGACAAGGCCAGAAAACGAACCAATTCGATTGCTGCTCACGCCCTCTAGAATCATGGTCATACATGACATCCCCCCCCATGATTTTCGATGCAAGAGCAGCAAAACATGCGATACAAACCAAAAACATGAAAACACGGTACACTCATGGCATCAAACTCCGGAAAAATTCGTACCGTATGAACCTGTATTTGCAACTAGAACTCCAAAAGCTACCCTGCTCCCTGAGCCACATGCCTTCACGCACGTCAAGCAACGCGCTATCATCCCATTTCTTGCGCGCGGCCAAAAACACACCGCAGAGAGCGACCTCTTAACTCAGGACCTAACATAAAAAAATAAAAAAATAAAAAAGTATCGAAACACCCTAAGCGCACGCGCGGCCCTCCTGCTGTTGCAGCTGCTGCTGCGGCTCCTGCTGCTGGGGCACACCACCATAGCCGCTGCCGCCGGGACCCTGCCATGGCTGCACACCTCCGCTGGAACCATCCTGATGTACCACGGCAAGGTGCTGCTGCGGAAGAGGCGCCGACACGGGCCAATGGTGCGCTATCGACCCGTCTACACAACTTGCCGAATACCCCGGCTCCGCGCTGTTGAGATGGGAGTGCTGGGGGAAGGGATGCTGCGAGAAAGGCTGGTAAGGTGGGGGCATTACGGCGTTGAGGTGGGGTGCCTGAGACGTGTTGGTCGCCGCGTGTTGGCGCGGCGGCTGCTGCAGATTGTTGGATGTGTTAAATTTGCAGTTGCGCGCCGTGTGGCCGGGTTCACCACAAATAGAACACCTACCATAAAATCGCGGAGGAGCCTGGCAGATGATGGCCGTGTGCCCGACATGACCGCAGCGACCACACATGGGCACGGCGCACATCGGTGATCCCGGGGGAATGGGGGACGCCTCCTGCGGCCACGCTGCGTTCCGCCCGGGGTCCCTGGGACCACCCGGAACGAATCCCATCGCCATTGCGGGAGTGAACTCCTGGGGCTGCTGCTGCTGCTGGGGCAGCTGCTGCTGAAACGACTGCTGCGGAAAATGCTGAGGGAATCTCCGTTGATACCGCTGCTGCGGCGCCTGCTGATGAAACGACTGTTGCGGCTGATGCAGCTGCGGGCGATATCCCCCGTTGTACTCTCCCTGAGTTCCCCCTCCCCACCCCGGCTGCTGCTGTCCATCTCTACCCTGTTGTCTGCCTTGGGAAAACCCACCGGTCCTCCGCTGCGGACCACCACCGCCGCCGCCGCCACCGCCGCCGCCGCCGCCGTTACCGTTGGGCCGTGAATTTCCGCCGAAACGGAGAGCGTGCGGATCGCTAGCCGGCGCGGCCGTCCGCTGCGCACGATCACCGAGATTTTTCTCAACGTGGTGGCTACGCACAAGAATCTCTAAGCTTCTGCGTGTGAGCGTGTGATCATGCATGAGAACGGTCTTGACCTGTTCGTAGTCTGCCGAGAGGCTTCTACGTAAAGCCGCAAGGACCTCACTTTCCGGGATTTCATAACCGTTGACAGCGCGAAGCGTATTCAGCACTTTGTTAAACCTCAGAAAGTAGTCTTGCGGGTCCTCTCCGAGCTGCATCTTCATGTTAGCGAGAGACAACTTCAGGGCCTCCTTCTCAGAGCTACTCATCGGAAGACAAAACTCCTGGGCAGCCTCCCATGCCCCCGACACATTCCCTACAGCAAGAATCGTCGATTGGAATTTCGCCCCCTTCGTGGCTCGCTTCAAGTAATCGAAAGCACGCTCATGATCACGCACACGCTTCTCACTGTGGAATCTTATGTTCTCGCTCCTGGAGGTGTGGATGAGCCAGATGCGATGATCAGGACTCGCCGGCGGAGTGAGTGTGTGCCCAAGATCTTCGCCGGCGAGGAAGACCTCGAATATCATTTTGAAGAGCGGGAAGTTGCCGTCGTACACTGGTGGCTTGCGGTCCCTGTACTGCTGTTGCACTGGACCATCTCGAAAAGAAGTAGCCGCTCCCCCGGCTCCAAAGGTGTCCGCCACCCCGGCTGCTCCACCCCTATAATACCCCGACGCGTACCCAGCGCCATCCACCCTATCTCTCGTAGCGTCCCCCGCTGAACTGCGCTCCCCTGCCTCCTCAAGTTTCCTCCGTAGCTCCGCATTCTCGGCTTGCTCTTTCTTGATTCCTTCTTCCAACTCTCTCTCTCTTTCCGTCATCGCTGTACCAACACCTGGCCTAGCTAGGCTCCATGATATCGTGTTAGTGCACTGCCGCCCTCAGCGGTCTGTGGTGTTGAGACTGGGGACCATGTTATCCCAGGAACAGCTGATAAAAAAGGACCATGTATTGTATATATTCGTCACGCAAGCCCCTCAGGCAAGCTGGTATTCGACACGCAAGCCCCTCAGGCAAGTGCCGGGAGCACACCGCCGTGTGCTCCCGGGAGGCCCCCGCACTTGGACCACAACCGCACACATACCCTCACACCCATACTTCCCATACGCGTATCCCCCACAGAGGATGCACAGATCGGACTCATATCCAAGTACCACAAACAATTACAACCATACTGCGGGACGACGGGAAATAGATCCTGCGAAGTATGTTTTGCTCAGAATTCGAAAAGTGATGATCCCGTCCAGGGCATAAAAAAGCAGTAATTTCTCGAACGCTCTCGTGTAGTGGCCATCCGAAACTATGCACAGATGTAGTAACCTCTCGTCATGTCTCATTGCCAGAGCCGTTGGTGCACATCCTTCGAGCACCAGAATCTCGACAGTAGGAATGTCTTCGATGGAATCGAAGGTGGTCCTATGCAGTGTATTAGGCCGTTAACTTTGCCGGTGTTGAATTGTTTGTTGCAGTTGATGTCAAATGTGATCCTCGAGATGGCGCTCAAAAACGTGCAACCCGGACGGTCTTTTGGATAATCCGGAGTATGTATCAAGCTTTGGTCTTTCGTCAAGCCACAGCCGACGCGCCCAGTTCTTCTTGGGCTGCTGTACGGGACCTTCGATGCAATGGGCTGTCGCGTTGCCTCGAGTTACCGCTACTCAACTGTGTTAAGAGTACAGTAAAACCACGGCGTATGAATTATTCTGGGGCGAAGAACAGGGCCGCGTTTGAGACGGCCTCTGTTTCAGTGCGACTGTGTAATCTGTGTGAGGAGCATCGAGACGGTGAAAGTGATAGGCCCACAGGCGCATCGGAACCAAAAACTGGGAGGGGCTGCAAGACGTTTTCCCGGTTCCGGCAGTAAGTAAGCCTTCGATGGTGTAATACAGCGGATTTTCAATACTCTAGATGCAGATGGCTATACTGATCACAAATGGGTTGAGGGCACCACACAAGTGCAAATGCACAAGCTTGGTACTTGGTACTGTACAAGCAACGAACACTTGCTTCTTCCAGAGGGATAAATCACGCTCCACACAATCAGAAAACGTGACCATGCGAGACACCATAGAAGAAAAAATTGAACGTGGGCCACATCAACCCAGTAGAATGAACGCGAAGAGCCCTCACGTTATAATCACTGGTGTGCGAGCACTATTCGTAGGAGAAAGGAATAAGTTTATGTTAGCTTTATCTCTCACGTACAGCGCGCATCAACCACCAGCCGCAAGCATACTGATGCGGAGGTCTTCCGCAGTCACAGCCTAACGACGTCCAAACAGGGTCCATTTTCAAAAATGGTTGAGTGCGGCCGATGCTCCCGTACGACGCCTTCACGACCTACATCTAAATATATAGTATGCGAATTCAAGTCACAACTCTCTGGGATACAGGGGTACCGCGTGTGTTCTATTGTGATCGTACACATCCAGGATCGACTTTCGTACGGGGAGCTCGACTAAATAGACTTCCTCTGCCACCCCCCAATTTGGGAAGTACCGCATGCGCCGGAGAGAGGTGGCACACCCTTGACTACCCTTGGCCGATTCTCGTATCAGATTGCTCGATCGCTCCACAACCAAGTGGGTGCGGAAAAAGCCGGATAATTCTACGGAAGACCCTCGACCGACGAGATGATTCCCAGACTAACTGTTGTATTGGTGTTGACAATCTTGGTGGTGGAGTATGGAGCAATTTGGAAAACGGTCTGGGGGTCGGTTTGTCGTGGCGCGATCGAGGTACTTGCTACGAACTACTTAGGGAGGGTGCAATCACTTGGCGCCATTGTTCCCTGTGGGTTACCAGAGGGATTAGGCTAAAACCAGATTACGTGACTGGCTTGGCTTTCGCACGGACGTCCTGGCAGAGACTGAGCTGCCAGTGATGAGTAAAATAGAGGCTAATAGGGAGATAGATGTCAGTCCCAGGGAGGGCGACGGGGGACCGTGCTGAGCCTTACTGATGTACACCTATGTGCTAAACAAGAAGTACCCAGCACAAGTCACTCGGCGCACAATCGTTTCAAATAACAGGAACCCCTTTCTATTTTTCGTTGGACAAGCGAACGAGACACACCTCAGTAATACCCCAGCCTCCTGGAGAAGCTCGCAACCCCAAATGCGGTGGGAGGACTCCGTTTCCCAGTCCACCTCGTGCTCGCCAGACGGTGGGTTATCCAATATATCGCGGGGGAGAATAATAGTTCTATGCCACGCTTCGTCGTCCGGGATTTGACCCAAGGTCCTCGCTACTGATCCATCCGCCATGTCGTATGGTGCTGGTGCTGGTGCTGGTGCTGGTGCTGGTGCTGGTGCTGGTGCTGGTGCTGTCATGGATGGCATGCGCATCCATCGCCAGGTCCCACGGGTCAGGTGGCTCCGTGGTTTGAACATACCCTCCCTCGGGTGAAATGGGGAAACGTTGAACAGCTGATGGTTGCGCCGCATGAAACCGCGAACGAACGTGCAGGGTGAAGCGACCAAACCAAATACCGGTATGCGCGAGGAGAGAGAGAGAGAGAGAGAGAGAGAGAGAGAGAGAGAGAGAGAGACACAGACAGACAGAGACAGAGAGACAGAGAGAGAAAATTACCGCATTGCCCGGCGTCCAAACCTGGAAAGTTACAAAGCATGCAGCGCTTCTCATGAATAGGATTATTCTCTCCGGAGGTATTCTCCTGTCGTTCGTTGCTGTTCATTCGCAATCTGACGGAAGTCGAGGGCTGTGCTGGGCAATCGCAGTGTTCGCGTTCATGTGGGCCATGACGAGTGAAATGTGACCTTTGGGGTCTATCGACAGGAACAGGAACCCCGTGTGGGCGTTCAAGGATCGCAAAATCGGTGAGGATTTACTTTTTTTTGCCTACACTGCTACTGCTGTCACTGCTTGGCTGCTTGATCATGATCAATGTGGGGTTATTTTTCACCATCATCATCGTACGCTGTCCGACGTAAACCACTGCAAGTAGCAGTCCACCTTGCTGCTTGTGTTCTTGGCCGGGCTTGTTATATACCCTGAGCAGGGAACGGGACGGTGGCAGACGAAGAATGTTTCTATGTTGACTGTAATAAACGCAAGAGCACCAGAAAATGCACACCACCAGTCGAAAGGTATCGCGAAAAACAGAAATCGGTGATTCTCGCACAGGGCGGCACTTGAGGCTGCTCAAAACATGCATTTCACGCGTCTACCTCCCCACCAAGCGCACAAAAAAAGTCTTCCCGCACACCTACCCGCCCCCCCCCCCCCCCCCTCCCCGGGAGGACGAAAAAGTTGTTTTTTTCTTGGTACATTTTTGTAGAGGTTTGTTGGTTTCCTCCCTCTCCATTGCTGGTGTTCACGGCACGCAGAGGTGCACAAGGACCTTGTTACCAGGTAGTTGTTTGATAGGTTTGAGATAGTTAATGGTGTGTACATTGGGCGCCGGGAAGATTGTTACTTCGTACAAATAGCTGTGATGGGCTACTAACTTCTATGCTACAAAAATGTTTTCAAGTCTTGGGAGTACAGTGCTTGGGGAAACCCCCACAAAAAAAACAAAAACTTAGGACCTCTCAATGCTTCTGCGACAAGTCCGCGACATTTGACCTTGGGCGAATATGGCGACATAACACACGACACACCAGAACCGAAGGACGCATAAATACCATGCGTCAAAAAGTCATCAATCCAAGCATACTCAAGCCGGCAACATGCCGAAGTGGGGCTGCCGATGAGCCTACGGCGTTGGCATCACCTTCACCACATGCAACACCCGTCCACAATTGCAATTGCCGTCGTTCAAGTACTTACTCCCTCCCCCAGGCCCCTCCACCTCCCTCGACAAGACTAAACCGCCGTTTCTTCGAGCGCTTGTTCGCCCCGAGTGCCTTCGCCCTCCCTCCTCGTCCCCCCTCCCCCTCACAAG